CGGCGGCTCTGGGTCCCCACCCTTCCTGACCTCTTACACACCGACGCCCCGAATTTCACTCCCACTCCCGCCAGCCTGCAAGCTGTCGAACAGTAGAGGGGTGATACATTTGAAAGCGCCTGGTGGATTGCCCAGCCCCGGCTAGACTCAGTTTCTGGAAATTAGGTGCAGGTGAATATGAAGAACAGGGAGAGGAGGACTCTCCAAAGGGCAGCCTCTTGGCGCAGCGAGAGACGCGCACCGGCAGCTGGGGCCGGCTGGGGGAGTGCGCGGCGGGGTCCGCCCGCCTGCAGGAGCAGGTGTGTGCGGACAGGTGGCGCCACCTCCTTCCAGCCCGCCTGCCCGGTCCGGGAGTCCTTCCAGAACTGGGAGCCGCGTGTTGCCCTGGGAAGAATCATCCGGGATGGCTGTGGTTTGCTTGTTTAAACTGCAGACCAGGTCAGAGTCGCTTCCCCAAAACTTGCAAGCGAGACTTCACCGTCCTCGCTTCAGCTGGAGGAGAAGCGGGCCCAGGGAGGTTCGCGCCTGTACGGAGGCCAAGAAACCGGAACTCGACCCGCCTCTGCGGACTGCCGAGCCCACAGGTTGGCTCTTTCCAACCTCGGTGTTTGCTTACCAGGAAGTTTTCCGGCTCTCAGGCGCGCCCCCCTGTGCAGGCCCCTCGCTGAATTGGTGCCCAATCAGAATTGGCTTGGCCTCGCCCCGCCCTTGGTTCCCTGGGTGACCCTGGGGGCCTCTGCTCACTTGACCCTGTAACTGTCAGGTTTATAATTAATCAGGCACAGTCTCGCAGAAGAATTTCTCATCAATGTCTGGCTCAAAAAAGACATCAGCAGGACGCATTGTTACATCAACGCCCTGAAATGTTACTTATTTGATAAGTGATCATTTATTAAAATATCTGCCTTGATGTGTCACATAGGGCCCCAGCAGGTGATCTCATGCACAGAAAAAAAAAAAAAAAAAAAAAGGAAGCATTACTTAAAGAACGGGCTTAGAACAAAAAAGTGTACTGTGCAGTGGAGACTTAAAGTGTTCTGGAAAATGCCATGATTTACCCTCTCTGGAAAAAAGACACCCATCGGATGATTAATACACAAGGGCCATTCCCTTGCCTTCCCTTGCCCAAAAAAGCATCTACGAAATTTCACCTTTGACGGTTACCCCAGGATCCCCAAGAACCCACGGTTTCTTTGAGAAAGCACCAAAATTTACATTTAATTGTCCACTCCGTCAGGGATTCTGCCGATGCTTTAACACATTACTTCACTTAATTCTAAAAATAACCTTTTATGCAGGTATTCTTGCTTTACAGAAGGCTAAACAGAGGCTCAGAGAGTTGGAAGGAAGGAAGGAAGGAAGGAAGGAAGGAAGGAAGGAAGGAAGATCCTAAAATCCTACCCAAGATCTGGACTCAAACCAAGTCTTGCCCCATTGCAGCTTGACCAATGAAAGGTTGATTAGGAACGTAAGCGGACCCTCCTTATTTTTAGAGAACAGCAGCAGTGCTGTCTGTGGACAAATTATGCAGAAAGGCCGTGGGTTTTGCCGTCATAGAGCAGAGATTAGGACAGGAAACCAACAACTGGGAATTTATTCATAATAAAAAAACTTTCAATTACAGTCTCGACAACTTATTCTTGAACACATTCCCATTTTAATATACAATTTAAGAACGTAAAATGCATCCTCTGAAGAAAAGGAGAAACTTCAAGATAAAAATATTTTGACTCAAAGACAGAAGCACGGATGTGAGAAATCAAAACCAGTCTTAAGAGTTATCTGAGGTCAACCTTCAACAGAGCCGTAGGCAGCGCTGCGGATCCCAGAAGTCTTTGCGGCCTCAGGAGGTAAAGGGGTACTTCCATCTCAGAATCGCTCCATCAGCACTTACACTAACGATGTACTGATTTCCTGGACTTACCCGGATGCGGGTGATGTTGCCGCTGTGTCCTACCCCGACATGAGTCACTTCACCCTCATTATAATCCCACACTTTGACCAGATGGTCATTTCCACCTGAAAAAGACAAGCAGGTGTATGGCATTGCTGCAAGAGGATGGGGAGGATCGGCCCTGATTTCAAGTAGCTGGCTAATTTTCAACACATTCCCCACGTTCCCACATAAAGGAAGAAAAATCCATCTGCATAGGAACTCATTTCCTTGGTTATAAAAACCCAGGTCTGTTGTAGCAGATTTGGGGGAAAGAAACACAAAGAGGTGACATCCCCTTTTAGCCCACCGCCCAGAAATAACCACTGAGAACACCTCTGGTTTAGCTCCTTCCAGTCTCTTTGCTCCAAGTACACAGGTTTACGTACGCACCTGTGTGGGTGGGTGGCGGTCTCACCGTGCGTAGTTTTCTATCATGCTCACAGTAAACGTGTTTGTGAAACTTTAATTCGTTCGGAGCATTTATTTGTTAATGCCCTGAAGAATCAGGGCCTGGCAGGAAATGATTGTCGATGATGTTCCAGAAGGCATGTTGTATGGTCAATGCCCGCCCCCTGGAAATGCTGATTTAAAAGCCTGGCATTTAAGACTTCCAGAGGAAATCACGGAGCAAGGCACGCCAGATAATCCAGACCATTTAAAGGCCCATTTCCATCATGAATGCCACCACCAAAAAAGGGAAGCAATGCAAGGCTTAGCTTTTCTGTGTGCCCCCAAGGCTCATGGGCAGGCGCTTCCTCCCACTGAAGCATGACTTCTGGAACTTTCTTTTCCAGCCACGCCGGCTGCAGCGTTCGGGCCTGACTTTAACGACGGGGCCCTCTAGCCACTTCTGTTGTCACTTCCTGTTGCCTCCCGCCTTCTAGGGAGTTCTAGGTTCCCATTTAAATAAGCAGGGCTGGGCTTCCTTTTCCCACCCCAGGACTCACCTGTGACAAAGTGCACTCCTTCCAGGGTGATATCCATTCCATTGATGGACCCAGACAAGGAACCTTCCAACTCTCTGATTACTGACCCATCAAAGATTTCCCAGTAAGCAATCTGGAATTCAGAAAAGCAGCATCCGGGAGGATTCAGCTCGGTGGAAGCCTCCGCGCGCAGGCGCACACTAACAAAAGATGGTTCTACTTTATATAGAAGGTGGCAAAAATACACCCCGGGAGGGTAGATGGCTGAAATTATAAATAGGCTCGAGCAGGGGGTGGAGAAAGGCATTTTCGTATTTTTAGCGTTGGTTTTTACATTGGCATTCTATTTAGGGAGATGGTGATTGTGCCAGCAGCCCGGATTGTGACAAAAAGTGCTTTTGGTGAGACGAAGCGCTTGGGGGTCCGAGGCAAGCTGTAAACGAAGGAAGAAAACAGCCACGGCATCCACGTTCCCACCTCAGCTCTTAGAGGAGGGCCTGGTGGAAGGGAAGCACCCCCCTCCAGCTGCTGGGGGAATGAGCAGCCCGGAGAGTTCTGCAGGCTCAGGTCCCTGCGGCTGACCCCGCGCTCTTCCCCACCTCACCCCATTTCCAACTTTCTCTTCAGCCTCAAAGCAGTGAAACACCCCCCAGGTTGGGGGCTAGAGGCAAACTGATAATATGGTCCCCTCTTGGGTTAGGGGACCCAAATCTACTGCTCAAGGGAGGGAGATTTTTCTCTGAATATACTGCTTTTATACTCTTTGAACTTTGAAACTTGTAAATGAACAACCTGTTCAAAAAGAAAATTTCTTTTTTTTTTTTTTTAAGATTTTATTTAGTTATTTGACAGAGAGAGAGAGCGCGCCGCAGGTAGAAGCAGAAGGAGAAGCAGACTCCCCGCGGGGCAAGGAGCCCACGACATGGGGCTCTGGGGCTCCATCCCACGACCCTGGGATCATGACCTGAGCGGAAAGGGAGATGCTTAACCCACGGAGCCACCCAGGTGCCCCAATAAAATTTCTTTCCCAACAAAGCACTTGACCAGGACTCAGGAGTGTGAACCTGGGCATGCATTTTGCCTCCTCTTATTTCGTGTTGATAGAAATTTGCTGTTTAAGTCATTATGCCAGGAATCTATATTCCTCTGAATCTAGCTAGAAATTGTGTACGCTATTTAAAAAAAATTTTTTTTTAGCTAATTTATTAATTTCTATTGATGCTTTAACCAAGAGTTGTTTTCATAGGAAAAGCATAAAGGAATATAGACACACGCCCAAATCCTTGTTTCTCGGGAATCACACCCACTTAGGCAGCTGGTGCCTGACTGCCTGCTCTCTTGGCCAAAGTCACAGTGACCCTCTTCTGGGCAGCCTGCTGGCGCCTCAACTTTCCCTCAGGCTTATCCTCTGCCTGCGACAGTCTTCCCTGAGAGCTAAGCATAGTGAGGTCCTCTGCCACTCAGGCCTCAGCTCAGGTGTCACCTCCTTGAGGAGACCTGCCCCA